GCGTGGTCTCCGTTGCCGAGTCTAGCTTCGTGAAAGACCGCACCACACGCCCTAAGAAGGAAAGGGCAACGCACACCGCACCGCAGCCCCGGACCATAGGGATAACGAGATTCGGGAACTCTAACAGTGCTTGGAAGAGTTGGAGCGCAACCAAGGCCAGAGAAGCACGGTGCCGGTTGTAGATCAGCCCGCGCAACCAATTGCGCCAACCACCAAAGAACCACTTTTCACTCAGGAGATTGTGGACGATGTACCTCCTACAGGATTGCGGGCACCTCAACTTGACAAGTACGACGGAAACATTGATCTTGTCGATCACATTGAGGCACTGGAGGCTTAGCTAATGTTGCACGGATCTTTTGAGGGCCTGATGTGCAAAGCCCTAGTGGCCACCCTCACTGGTCTAGCCCTAACCTGGTATTCCTCTCTGCCTCCACGCTCCATAGCGTTGTCGGAGTAGTTGGAAACTCAGTTCCGTGCATATTTCACAGCGAGTCAAAAGCACTGGAAAACCTCGGCCAACCTCATGCAGGTACGCCAGAGGAAAGCTGAATCTCTCAGGGACTACCTGGCGAGATTCAACAAAGAGGCACTACAGGTCAGAAACCTGAACCAGTTCATGGCTGTCACCGCTATTCAACATGGCCTCCTCCCATTGCCTTCAACTTCTCCATCTCCAAGAACCCTCCACAAACCCTGACCGCACAGATGAGCCATGCGTAGAAATACATCAACGCAGAAGAAGCACAAACACAGCTGCGGGACAAAGAAGAGAAGCTAGGAGAGATACTGAGGAGCGGAAGTCAGAAAGAACAAACTGAGACCATAAGAGGTAGGACCTCCAACCCAATTGTAGACCACAGACACCTCCACCGACCTATCGGAACTTCACGCCACTGAATACACCGCGGTCTGAAGTTCTGATGCAAATCCGTGACCGTAGTTACGTCCAATGGCCCGAGAAGATGAAGACACAAGCCAACAAGAGGAATCGCGACAAGTACTGTGAATTCCATAGGGATCATGACCACAACACAGAAAACTACTTCGACCTGCACAACCACATCGAGGACCTGATCAGGCGCGGGTACCTCAGCGTGTTCATCGACAAGAACGAGAAGCCCGTGCAGGAGGAACAACATGCAGAGAATGCTTGGCTACAACCTCGAGCCCCTCCTGCTAGTGTGATCCATGTCATATCAGGAGGAATCGCCACAGGAGGGGAGTGCAGCTCGGGGTGCAAGAAATATGCGCGACTATGCAAAATCGACAACCGCAGGCACAAAAAGAAACGCAACCTATCTATCACCTTCACCGACGTTGATCTCTGGGGAGTCCAAACCCCGCACGATGATACCTTGGTCATCACAGCCGAGGTTGCCAACTTTGAGATGCAGCGGATCATGGTTGATACTGGTAGTTCCGTTGATGTGCTCTTCGAGGACGCATTTGAGAAGCTTGGCATAGACAAAGAGCGCCTCACCCCCATCAACACTCCCCTAATGGGCTTCTTGGGGGAGTCCCTCTTGCCCACTGGAAGGATAACCCTTCCCTTCTTGATCGGAGATGGCGACATTATCGCAACGACCATGGTAGACTTCATCATGGTTCGTTGCCCCTCGTCCTACAACACCATCCTCGGCAGGTCGACCCTTAATGCTTTACAGGCCATGGTCTCAATGTTCCACCTCGCCATGAAGTTCCCCATCGAGTATGGAGTGGGCGTGGCACGTGGGGTCCAAAGAACTGTGCAGCAATGCTACTTGCTCTCTTGTCGAGGACCGTGTCCAGCCGCAAAAACATTGATGGCTGAAGCCTATGATCTAAGGGACGAGGTGAGAGCACAACATGGCCAACCTGTTGAAGACCTCATCCAAGTGCCACTCAAAGAAGAAGACCCCGAGAAGATAGTCCAGATCAGCTCTCTCCTAGATCGACCAACTTGTCGACGCAATGACAGGCCATGAACTCCTGAGCTTTATGGATGCCTTATTGGGGTACAATCAGATCCGAATGCACCATGATCACCATGAGAAAACAACTTTCATCATTGACCACGGCTTATATTGCTACAAGGTGATGCCCTTTGGCCTCAAGAATGCTGGCGCCACTTACCAACGACTGGTGAATGTGTTCAAGGATCATCTCGGCCGAAACGTGGAAGCATATGTCGACGACATGCTCATGAAGAGAAAAAAGGCTGAGCACCACCTTGTTGACCTAAAAGAAGTCTCCGATACCCTCAAGAAGTACAAGATGAAGCTAAACCCAACCAAATGCGCTTTCGGGGTCGGCTTGGGTAAATTCTTGGGGTTCATGGTGACACATAGGGGGATTGAGGCAAATCCAGAGAAAATACAGGCCATCCTCGACATGCAATTGTCCCGAACTCATAAAGACGTGGAACGACTCACCGGTAGAGTAGCCGCCCTTAGTAGGTTCATGTTTAAATCCGTGGACCGGTGTTTACCCTTCTTCAAAGCCCTCAAGCGACCGAAGGACTTCTAGTGGACCAAGGAATGCAAACGGTCCTCTCCTCACCAAACCGAGCCCAGAGGATGAGCAATTGCTCTACCTCTCAGCCAGGGATGAGGTCGTCAGCTCGGTGCTGGTTAAGGAGGAAGATCGGGTACAGAGGCCGATCTACTATACTAGCAAAGTCCTTAGTAACCCGGTACTCCAACTTGGAGAAAATGAGACTGACATTGGTCACCTCGGCCAGGAAGCTCAAGCCATATTTCCAAGCCCACAACATCAAAGTGCTCACTGACCAGCCCCTCAAGTAGGTTCTTCAAAGGCTAGAAGCATCTGGCCGCCTAATCGAGTGGAGCATAGAGCTCAGTGAGTTCGATGTTGAGTATGCACCCCGTCCCGCGATCAAGGCCCAGTCTCTAGCGGACTTCATTGCCAAGTGTACCTTTACTTTCGAAGACCCGGCCCTACCGCCACAAATATGGACTACTCCATGAACAGCTATTGGAGAGACACCCTTCAGCCTGACCTACGGGGCCGAGGCCATGGTGCCCGTGGAAATAGGCTCTCTGAGTCTTCAGATTGAGCTTTTTGATAAAGACCAGAACGACGAAGACCTCCGCGCAGAGTTGGACTTAGTGGAAGAAGCCCGGGACTGAGCACATGTCAGAATGGTGGCACAACAATAGAGGATGGTGAAGTACTATGATTCCAAAGTTAGAAGATGTGAGTTCAAGATAGGCGACCTCGTCCTCTACAAAGTCATCGCACCCGCACCCGGGAAAGGCAAGCTCAGGCCAAACTGGGAAGGCCATATAGAGTCACTAGAGTGCTTGTTCTGGGCACCTATAGACTTGAAGACCTCGATGGCTGACCAATATTGAGGAGTTGGAACACGGGGTATCTACGGATGTACTACCAATAATTTGATTATTAATGCAGAGTGTTTTATTTGAGCCACGTCTGATTGCCCGATGCGTCGCACACACACACACCGCACCAGATTGCACACATACCTCGCTACACATGCCACGCAACACTCCTGTAGCTCAGCACACCAAGCCGACCTAGCTAATCTTTGAATGGCCTGGGCCCATGACGCGTAGCTCGGCAGCGCATCGCCGACCAAGTAATTCAACTCGGCTGTCGACGGCCGAGCCTAAGGTGGAGAAGAACACCCCCACCCATCAAGGCTTGTGGACGGTCATTGAACTCCACTCGATCACCGACCATCAGTTAGAGAGAGTCGAGGAATGGCCAGCCCTAGAAGAGCCCCAAAAGCTCCCGAGACCAGAAACTGAGCATCCCAAACATGAGAGCTCAGAGCATACTCCAGCCCCGCTGGCCGGAGACTGAAGATCTCGGTCAACTCTAGACCTTGGCTGAGATAAGGCCGAGGAGCCCAACAGGAGAGAAAGTAAAAGAAGAAGATATTTACTCCCACAAGTTCAGAATAAAAAGTTTTCATTAAGTTAAAATAACCAATACAACAGTTCTAGCTTGGCATACCGAGTCATTGCAAAAGTAGGGAAAACAAAGAACCCCGCAACTATTCAATCCTCAGTGGGGGGATCAGTGGCATCGTCTTCCTCGCCATCTTCGCCATTCTCTCCATTCTCATCTTCGTCAGCCTCCTCTTCAAGGTTGTCCGAAGCAGGGGGAGTCTCCAAGTCATACACCCCCCAAGACTGCGCAATCTTGGCCAGCTCCGGACAGTGGTACAGTGCCCTCCTACGAAATACGTTGAACCTAGTCTCGTAGAAAACCGTGGCGTACTAATCCATCTCCCACTTGTGCTCCTCTGAGGCCTTGTACTACACCACTGTCACTTCATCGGCCTCTCACTTCACTCGCTCCCTTTCCGCCTTCAGCTTAGTGATCTCCTACCTCAGGCTATGAACCGTGTTCGCCTGCTCAGCTACCTCCTTCTCTAGCACGGTCGACTGCTCTCCTGCCGCCTGAAGCTTGACCAACTGAGCCTTCTATCGTAGGAACTCAGAGTGCTCCGTTCGTTCATTACCCATAGATGCTGGAGGCGGTCGACTAGAGCAATCGTCGAGCACGCAATCTGTGGACACAAGAGGCATTGTCAGCATAAAGAAATCTATTCAAAGCAACAAAAACAATCATTAACTCACCTGAGCCGTAGCCCGAATAAGCGAACACTCCAGGTGCCGCTCCCAGTGGTTGCGACCTCCTCAGATATGTAAGCCGTCATCATACCTCAGAGCAGTTGCTCGGGAACCCCTGGGGTTTCCAACCCATCCCTGGTATGGGCCGACCAATGCGGAATGTGGATATCCGAGCTGCTGCCCCTAACCTCGGTTTGCGAAGGAGTGGCAACCCGACGGACCTTCGCGAGATCTACAACAACTACACCCTCATCATCATTTCCTCATTTCCGAACTCTCTTTTGGCGACGAGACGCCCTCTCAGAAGACCTTGGTGAAGGAACCGTCTCAGGGGGAACTTGCGACGACGCACTAGCTCGGCTCTACCTTTTCCGGTGCTCCCTCGTGCGATGAATAATCTCTTCCTCGGTGCCATCTCAACAACTGCAGCACGGAAGCAGAGCTATTAGTACAAGGTCATGCAAGTAAGTAAATAAGCACAATTCAATAAGTACGACAAAGCAACGAAAAGAACAGACCGACCACCCCACGCATCAACTCGGCGAGCATCAACATCTCCGTGCATGTGTAAGCCACCACGTCTATCTCGTAAATCATGCTAAGAGATGACCTCACATCCCAGGTGAGCATCGATCACAGAGGCTAGGGCACTTTCGTTCTCAGCACCTGTAGTGCAGCAAAAAGGGATAACCCCCCCATGACAATGCACAAAGAAGAAACTCTCCTTCCAATGCTTCACAAAACTGGGGGCTCCGGCCAACACCTTGACGTTCTTCCTAGTTGAAAGGTGATAATACCCCTACTGGTGATGCTTTAGCTGAAGAAGGAAGCTCACCATGCCTAGGGTCAGCTCGATGTCACGAACGACACAGTAAGACATGAGGCCGAACAAAAACCTAAAGGAGTTCGGCATTAGCTGCATCGGAAATACTCGATACCACCCAGGCACCCCGGCAATCCCTTCATTCAGAGGAAACCTTAGCCTGGCTTCCAAACTGTGCTCACACACACATATCTTGTCGGGCTGCGGGCACCTCATTCAAAATTCCTCAGGGATATCGTACATAGCTCGGATCTGAGCCATATCCTCAAGGGTTAAGACACAGGGCGTGGTCCCAAACCGACGACCAGCCCACAAGGGAAGCTCTACCTCTACCCTCGAAGGACCAACCTCGGCCTTCTCAACCTTGGTAGACTCAGGCTCCTCGACCTCGGTAGCCTCAAACTCCCCCGCCCCCGACTCATAGTCGGAGTTGCTAGAACCAGAGGAAGAATCAGAAACAGAGGAAGAACGAGAGGATGAGGAAGACATCTTACCAAACTTGAACCCGAGGAACAAAAGCAGAAGCCAAGCAATGCAACAACGCCTCGTTGAGCAATCGAAGCAATCCCTCTCGCAAATGACAAAGGAGGAAGTCCCGTCCACCCCTTCTTATAACCCCTAAGAACACGAATTCCACGAACCAAGCGCTGCCCTAACAAAGCTCAGGAAGACCAATCGACGCGAATGTTATTGCACGTGCAAGGCCTTTGGAACCAAAGCAATGACCTTGACAAGAAACATTCAGAGCATTAATTGCCCCGTGGATGCCCAAGGTTCACCCAGGACCACCGGTCCGATTAACTCCCCAGGTCTCCTCAGGGTACAGACTAAGGGAGGCCACGCTATGCCTCGGCCGAGCACTCCACTCTTCGACTTCGGAATTGGGGGAGTGGTGTTCGGATTCCAAAATTTCAAGAGCAAGTTCCTTAGCCGAAGAACAGAAAGCTCGGCACAGCATTGCCAAGCATCAAACGCCTCGACACCTTCCTCAGTGCAGTATTGCCGCATCAGAGGGGCTCAGGCTTCGAAGCCTGACTCGATGCCTTGACCCCTTCCTTGGCGTAATGTCGCCGAGTATCATCGAAGCTCGGCCTCCACCGACGCAGTGGAGCCCTTCCTCGACACCCAGCTGAGCTAAACCCCCAACTTCGGAGCTCAGGACACCATGGCCAAGCATCACAGTAGCCTCAACACCGAAGCTCGGCCTCCACTAGGAATCAAAAAGCCCTTCCTCGACACCCGGCCAAGCTAAGCGACCACACAACATTTTAGCCGAGGAACGAAGAGCCCTTCCTTGGCTCCACTAGGAAGACGGACCTCAAAGCTCATCTCGACACCTTGGTGCCCTGCTGAGCTATACGACCACGCAACACTTCGGCCGAGCACTCCCCTTCCCCGGCTCCAGAACTGGGGAGTGGTGTTTAGATTCCGTAGTTAGAATTCTTGGAGTTCTACAGCCGACGATTGAAGGACTCTTTGGCCACAACCCACATTGCGTGGACCTCACATTCTGGCAAACACCGAGGAACATCAAATGGAG